AGAGCTTCTGATTTGAAATTTTTTTCAAAAAACTATAGTAGCTGGCAATATTATTGAAAGAATGATGTTGTAATTTCTTAAAAAGACAACTGCTGATATCTTTCCACAAGCAAATCTATTGATTGTATAAAATAATAGAAAGTTTTTCTTCTTTTTTCATCAGCTTCATTTCTTTCTTGTATGCAGTCTGCAAATCTTTCTTAGTTGATATATTTTCTTTATCAAATTGTTGTTCATCTTTCATCCATCATTTCACTTCTTGCATGGTTTTCTCAGAATCTAACAAATGATTCCACACTGTGAGTCTGTGATTGATACTTAGAATGATTAATATAATAATCAGTAGAATAGAGGATTTATTTTTCACTTAATTTAGAGACATCTTTCAGTCTCTATTTCAGCATTGATGCTGTAATCTCTGTGCTAAGTCTATATTCTATCAACATCTATATTAACAAAATTTCAAGATTTTGTTAATTATCTTTTACTCATGATTTCTGATTTTTTATTGTCAATTATTTTCTATTGTTCTTCAGTATTTGCTTTTCTGAATGCCTCAGTTTTTTTCAACTGTTGAATATAGTAATTGACAGCTGCACAATCTACATTTTTAATCTGTTCAACTGTGGCTTCTTCTTTATTTATTTTTGTTCATTGTTTTATTGCTTTTTGAATATGAGAATTAACTGAGAGTTCTGCTTCTGCTTTTTATTTTTTGTCAGCTGTGACTTCAGATTTTGATTCACAATGTATTATTTTAATAGATTTGAAAGTGAGAATCAACTGTGGCAGATATAAAGACTGAAAAATCTGAGACAAGAGGTGAAACTGAGGCTAGAAGTGATTGATTGATATAATGATTGATATAAAAATGAGCTCAGAGCAGAGAGCAGAGGGCAGTAGTAGTGATGATGAATGAAAAAAAAAAATCAAAAGAATTGAAGAATAAATGATTATATTCTATATAATGCATTATTATATTTTCTTGAATTGTCTATTTGAGTGATTTTGTTGTTGTGTTATTCATCAATTATATATAAATGTCAAATATCTCTTCTTTCTCTTCTGTCAATCTTTTCATCTTCTTATACTATTCTTACTCTATCATTTCTTTCTCTATACTCTCTACTCTCTCTGACTCCTCTCTCTTTTTCTTTTTTTCATGATTTTTAATTTTTTTTTAATTCTATTAATATAAGTGAGCTACATTTCATTTTTATACTAGTTATTATGCTAATCAATAAATTGGCAGCTAGAATCATCAAATAGTTATAAAAATAATAAGAATAAAAATGACAGCAAGAAGATGTGTTGCAGAGAAGAGATCTACAAAGAATTTAGTCAGTAAGATCAGAAAAGAAAAGAGTAAACACTCTTCAGAAAAACAGTATATCATTCATATGAGCTCAAAATACTGTTACTGTTGAAAGAGTGGTAGTAAGTATAAATATATTTATAGATTTTTTGATATATATGGCTGAATATCTAACTTAATTATTTTAGCAAATGCTCTATATCAAATCTGATATTATCAGAAATCTGTTGAGCTTTTCATCTGTAAAGTCCTCTTTCAGTGTCTTATCTGTGAAATTATATATAATATTTTTGATAATATTTGATTTCAAGTAACAGCACTTCAGACATTGTAAGAGGCTGCAGAGACAGTCTTAGTTGATGAATTTACAAGTATAAAAATGACTGGATTTTACAAGTTAATATACTAATCATTATACTAATTGATGAGGTGTTAGTGATCAATCTATATGCCATCCATGCTAAATATATCACAATTCAACAGAAAGATATGAAATTGATGCAATATCTGTGACAAATCATGACAGAAAGTGGTATGCCAGAATGTAGAAATACCTCAAATTAGTTCACTTTTTATTTTTGCTTTTTGTTTTTGCTTTTTGTTTTCACTTTTTGTTTTCACTTTTTGATTTCACTTTTTGTTTTCAGTTTTCACTTTTTTTGTTTTTTTGATGATATTCCATGAAGTTGATGTTTTTAATTTTTTTTTTTTTTTTTTTTTAGTTAATCAAAATGAAAATGAGATGTTTCTGCTGTAGACAAACTTTCATATAAATTTCTATTGATAGATGTCTATAGTGGAATTAAGTAATTACAGTGAAAAACATCAAAAAAATCTATTTGACATATTTGTCACTATAGGCTGCTGTACAGCACCACAAATCTTGGCAGAAATTCACACTGTATTTTATACTGAATACTCAGCTCTTGATTATTCCTTGTCTCTGCTGCTATTCAATATGGAATCTGTCTGTCAATCTATCTGTCAATCTGCATACCAATCTGTCTGTCAATCTGTGTGTCAATCTGTCAATCAGATAAATATTCTATTCCTTCATCTATCTGTACTGTCTTTCTTCTCTATACTCATTGCCATCTTCTAACTCTATAATCTTTTCAATAAGTACAGAAATCTGCTCAATTTATATCTGTATCTTCTCTTGTAACAGATTCTTTCATATCTGTTTTTATACTCTAACAGCTTCTATATGATTCTTAGAATGTTATAAACCTGCGGCACAAGCCAGGGCTTATTGGATAAGAACTGAAGGGATGCAGGAACAGAACAACCCTCAACCAAGATTAGTATGAGGTCACATGACTGCTCACTCTGATCACTGTGCTCACCATGATCATCAGTGAGCAAAGTGAGCAAGTGAGCAGAGTGAGCAGGATAATTTGTATGAGGACTCAAATGTATTTAAACACACTCATTACCCTTAGAATCAAGGAGCTTATCTTCTTGATCATGATCAATCTTATCATTCTCTCTTATCTCTACTGCACCTCAACTTATACTCAGTTACATAGTACAACTATAAGCTCACCTTAAGTATACTTCTTCACGACGCATACCTTAAGCATACGCCCTACCCTGTAAGCCCTACTAGGTATTCTTATTGTCTACCTTAGGCCGCCACCATAGCTATCACTAGTCATCCTAAATATTCCTCTTGACATTATATCTTAACCTGTGATAGTGGCACTACCTCCTGACTCAGTGAACAAGCTCAGCAACACTATATAAGCCCCGACCTTACCTTATATCCAGTGAGAAGCTTGCTGAGTTAGAGACTCAGTAGCATAGAAGCTTCTTTTCTTATTGTTCTGCACTTCATTCAGAGTCAAGCTGTCTCAATTGCATTGAGATCAGATGAATTCCCACATCAAAGCAGCTGTTGAATTCCATGAATATTGTATATATAATGTTGGATATAGTGATTGTATGAAGAGGTCTTATTCTCTTGCACAATAGTATTTGAATGATTGATTTGACACTCTTTTGTAAAGAGAAATAGCTTTGATAAGAGAATTTGAACTTGATAGCAATATCAATTAATTTCATCATCTTTGTTATAAGATAGCTTGTCTGTGATCTGTTTGAACTTTCATATTGATTTTTGATCTGATTGCTGACAATCAATCTGTAATCTTTGAATATCATTTGACAGCTCTCATTTTTGTCTCTTTATAGATTTCATTTCAGTATTTAAAGTCTCAATATACTCAAAAGATTGAACACACTTCTGCAAGGTTTCTCTGACTCAATAATAAAATGAATCCTTCTTATTGTACAAGAAGCAGACTCAGAATATGAATTCAGATGATCTTTTTCATTATTTATATATACAGCTTTGAGAATAGATTTCATAAGATGCATATTATATTCTATATTCATCTTATCAATGAAGAAGAATAACAGAGATTTCATCTAATCAGATAATATTCTTTCAATTCTTCAAGGTTCAATCTTTATACTTCAGACAGAATTGAAGTTGATCTAGTTATATCTTCTTGATAAATTCTGGCTTCTGTGTAGGCTTTGTTTTTCACAGATCTGCTTTGTAAAGAATCCTTTATATAGTTATAGAAGATATCTCAATTTCTTCATTACTGAATTCATTGACAAGATCAGTACATATCTTTTCTCATTCATATCAATCATATTGAATCTTTGTAAGAATAGTGTTCTTAATACTATTATTTCTCTGAGTTGATCAGTCAGATTTGAGGGCATCTCAAAGCCATTCATTGCAAAGTATAATATGAGACAGTTCAGAATCAAATCCACATTCAATTGCATATTTATATATACAGTTGATTTGACTCTTTGAGATCTGAGTGATTTCTGTGATTTCAGCATTTGACTTGTCAAAATAGAGTGATTTAAGAGTCACCACAAGAGTTCTTGTGGTAATATCAGTATTGGATGCCATATGAATCAGCAGATGAAATATTAGAGATGAGATATTTGAGAAAAAAGAGGAATCAATTCAGAATATGTGGCATTCTCATATAAATAGAATGTGGGGTCATTTGAAGCTAAATGTAATTACTCATTAAAATGTTGTGGCACTTCTTAGTTGTATAAATTGAATCTGAGCGGCGCAATTCTTTTGATAGCGCCCTCTGTATTCTCCAGGAAAATAGATTCGAAGCTGCAGCAATGAATAGGGGCATGTAATCGCTACTGCATCCCACGTGGATTCTGGAATAATTTCTTGATATGATTCTCTCCATTGATTCCGCCATTAATGCATGTACGTGGACAGTACATGTGCCTTCGGGTTGATTCAGTGAAGGACAAACAGCCATGCTCTGGTAAAAAAAATCTGGTTGGATCTCGTTCTTGTTCCCGAACGCACTTCTCCCTTTCGCTTTCCTGCGTTCTGATTTAAACTGGATGGAAATGGAGACCTGATTAGCTGATAGAAAGAGATCTACAGCAACAAAGAATTGTGGCACTCTTTCTTTGCAGGATGACCCCGGAGAACCACCAACCTCGGCACACTCCGATGCAGGTAGGATCGCGTGGAACAAACGCTTTTAACAACCACGAGTTCTCATGAGCACGCCAGAAAATGATTAAATTCCTTGCATTTTTCTTCTCCAAATAATCACCAAAATGGTGCCTTACACTTTCAGCGAGGAAATATTGCTTTGGGGGTGTGGTATATGAAGATATCATGTCGTTATTAACACTCACGGGCAAATATGGTGCTGGGACAAATCCCTTCTCATCGGAACACTCACCCGTGGATGAATGTCGTGCATCTTTGGTTTTGGGTCTATCGGGGTGTCTCACTGGGTTATCCATCCTTGTAGTTGTTTTGCGATGTTATTGCCGTGGCCAGATCGAGAGGCATTATTGGTATGATGACTTTGTCATATTTTTTGCCACGGTGAGACTTCCGAACTACTTTCACTCCAACATACTACTATTGTTTGAGTCGACTCACTAACAACCTTATCTAGATATGTTCAATTATCGTCCTCGCTTGTTTCATAGGAGAATCATACAGTGGCTTGGGATGCTATATTTTATTCCTTAGCTCCGAGGACCGCGAATACCTGGCAAAGATAGGATATATCCATGAGATATTTGGACTTCTTGGAATCAACGCGGTCAAAATATCCGCCTGCTTTTTTATGCTTCGGACTATAAGCCAAGCCAATATTCGGAATTCAGCTAAAGCAATGATTGGTGAGTATTTAGGGCCTAAAGCATTATTTATCGGAATATATTACTAGCTATTGAGTTTTTCTGAAATGCTAATTAAGTCTTATAAAAGCGTTTGTCCTGGCCTTCACGGTCCTTACGGTCAGCGTACTTATTTTCCAATGCGTACCAGCTACTACCCTCTGGAACTCCAGCCTGGAACCTGGTTCTCATTGCCTTTCGCTCAAATCCTACGTGACTATCGGCTTAGTCACCGATTGTATGTATGCTTCGAAGAATCCTGTGATGGTTTTCTGTGCTAATACTACAATAGCCGTTAACGCTGCAATCGATCTTATTTTATCGACCTTACCACTCCCTCTTTATTACAATTCTAACTCCAGCAAATATTCCCGAGTTGCATTGATTGGAATTGTTGCTCTTGCATACATGTAAGCCTTATATTGCTGTTTCGGCCTCAGTTGCCACAGCCCTCGATATCTAAGGAACTCTAATTTATTGGATGCAGAGCATGCAGCGCCGCCATTACGAAAATCGTTCGTCGAGCCAATTTGCTCGCAATTTCTGATTCGTGGCGGTAAGTTTATACAATGCAAATGTGCATCCCCTATCTCCGGAGGAAACCATCAGCTGACAGGCTATTAGTGAAAGTGATTACACCCTTTGGACTAGGTATTGCCTGCCTTGCTGCATTGTGCCCCAAAACTCCTTGCTACTATTTCTCTTACAAATAACCAAGGGAAAGATGCAACTGGACTAACCCCCGAATTCGCCTTCCAGTATCGAACTTCAAATTGGGGTCCTAGCCACTTCTCTACCGACTATAAACCCAATCCTCACAGTAATCCTTGCATCTATATATAAAACATTCAGGACTCCTAAATGGCCGACTAGCAGCCCTGACACGAACGACCACATTTCAGCCAACCGCCATATTCGAATGGGCTCACATTCCCTACGAAGACAAAGCCGATCCACCCTCAATGACCACCATGCGAGTAGCATCACTACTCAGCACTCCGATCCGGAACAACAGCATATCACTAGATATCCCTCAAGCCATTATAAAGTTGAAGTTAGCGCTTCGAGGCAACCTAGTTCTCAAAATGATATGAGACGAGATGCTATTCTTGCCGCTGGGCGGTCAGGGTTTCCAGCCATTGTGAGAACTACTGATGTATATATACACACGGCGAGTGGGAACAAAGGCGAATATGAGGAAGATGTTGAGAACACAAGTGCAGAAATTCCGCCTGCTAAGTGACAATGGAAGCTGCTTGGTGAGTAACTAACAATGTTTGAGAATGGAATGGGGCAGATTTCTGACACAAACATGCAGAGTTACAGGGTGGTGGTGTAAGTAGCGCGAAACCTCTTACAATCACATTGGTTTTTTCTTGTAAAAAATTTAATATATGCTGTCTTTAATGTATGGATTTCCGTTTGAAGATATCTGTATGCGTGTAAATATCCAGGCTTTATATACCATTGTTTTGCAATTTGACCCAGCTTTGTTGTCCTGTGGATTGGAATTTATGGTACCAAAACAGCGTGTTAGATATAGCTCCCCTCGCGCCTTTCTGCTAGTTACACTATCAAATAACTCTGCCCATTCGCATCGAACTGTCCATGAAGTTATAATGCTTTCCCAATAACCAGTAGTTTAGGGCCGTTTAGATGATGAATTGATACAAAGAGAACGGCATATCAGTAAATTAGACGTCTCTTGTAAATGAAATACTAGTTTGTAAATCATTCCACATATCAGACTTTACCAGCTGGCCGGGGCCAAATCCAGACAGCAGCTGGGATCGTCTAGCAGGAATCGCGATTGACGTTTTAACTAACTTTATTTAACCTTAAAACTCAAAAAAGGTTCTATTTCAGGTTACATGTCGGCTGAGCTGACCCACGCTAGTGTAGGTCATCTGACCCTATAGAAATGATTGACTATCCAGGTGTTGGACCACACACATATATTAGCTCGCCACTAGATAGATAAACAACCAACCAAGCTTCAACCCTCTTACAGGTTATGAAGCCCTTGATGAATGAACAAGACTCGGAACAAAACTCTTCCTCGTCGTTGACTCGATCCCGGGAGCCCCCAGACCAATGATAGATAACAACCCTGGCTTTAGCATGGACAGCTGTCGTTTGATTACTTTGTCTGCCAGCTTGGCGCCTTCGTCAACATCGGCGCGGGGTCCATGTACCAAAGCGCAGTCGGTTTCGACCTACCCTTCCGCTCCGCTTGGCATGACTTCGAATATTGTAGAGCCATTGGATTCGATTTCGCAACGTGATCGCCTATTCTTGCTTCTGCGAACATGTCAACTGCCTCCCCCATTGCGCTGGGGTCCGCAGCAATGATGTGTCGGCGCCTGATGACATGATAGGATATTGAACTGATTCCCTGTCTTGTTTATTGCTTGCGCTCTAACCTTGACATGTCAATTTATTGGATATTGCCTGTGGCATGGTCGGTGTTTAACAACCACTGAGTGCTGTGTGCCATATTTCTCAAAGGATGCCCTGTTACACCGAATCCCCGCGGAAGGAGTGGGCGGCTACAGTGGGTTTGGGTAACAGAAGCTGCCACTGAGGGTATCTATTGCTTTCTTCCTGAGCGTCAATTCAGTCGATAAGTTTCCCCATGAGGGATGGGTGCGAGACGCGCTACTATTATCACTGGATGCTGTTAGGTTGTTTTGAAATCAAATTGAGTCCCTGAGCAAGCTTCCGAGAAGGTGAGAACATCCACTGACGGTGGCCTCCAAGATTGCTTCGGGAGTCACCTGCATATTTTGTTGGCCCTTTCAGCACTGAGGCGCCAACTCAAACCACGGGTGTTGCATGTTGTTGCCGAGAGGCTGCAACATGCCCTGAAATTATTCTCAGGATCGAATTCTACGCGCTTTGTATTTGGAGGCTCAGCTAGCTCGTTTTCAGCTGGAGGGCGCTCTGCGCTAACTCCTTGAAAACCCCCACCCGAGCGCTTAGACCGCGTAAGGCTAGTCTGAGACTGGGTATTTGCTTCATTACCCAAAGAAACTGGGCAGTTGATCAACTCCTAAGTTTGAGGAATGGATGATCCATCAGTTCACGAGCCGTCTTCCTCTTCTCCGGAAGCCAGGTGAGCATCTGTCGAACAAAAGATAAAAATGCCTGTCGATCCTTCTCTTCAAGAAATGGGATTGTGTCCTCTAAGCTTCGGGAAGGGATCAATTTACTATGGCGGAATTCATCTTTAATGCAATCAGTATGCCAGGTATTGACGTACAAGATAGTTGTCAACCCACCTTCTGCATTAAAGAAAGGGCCGTAGAAGAATTCTTGAGCATTGTTGCAGAGTTTGCCAGCGTCGTTCATGACGGGCTCGGGCCAGTTGTGCTCTGACAAGGCCTTTGATTTCGCGAGTAACACATTGGGGGGGGGACCGAGTAGGGCAATCATTTCCGCGAGGTGTGACTTTGCGTCGTATTGGCCTTTTGTACCATGTACCTGCTGGAACAACTCCATGCTCCCAAGGATATTCCACAACTTGCCGAACAGGATTATTAGCATTAAGCCCACGCGAGTGAGTGTAACCAAAAGGGGGAAATAAAAAACCCCGTTGTTTTGTACTTTCACCTCCAGAAAGCAGTTACAGGGGTCTTACCAGCACACCAAAGTTCCAAATATCTGCCTTAAAGTCCCAACCGCAGCCAAGGATTACCTCTGGAGCACGGTAATAGTCCGGCTGGATAGGGTATATGCCAAGCTGCTCTCCTACCACTCCGTTTCGAGTAGAGGGCTTGTCGAGTTTTGCTGCAAGCCCGAAATCGACTATTTTAGGAACCATATTTTTGATATCTCTCACATCAAGAGCGCCGAGGTCGTTATGGCAGCGGTAGATAGTCCGACCACTCTCACTATCAACCTTGCATTGCATCGGTTGTTGTCGTTTAATGAAGTCGGTAAGAATGTTTCCATTTTCAAAACTCATGAGGATATTCCCTAGCTTTAGATCTGACGGGTAGGTAAGTTCTTTACATTCTAGAATAGGCACAGAAGAATGGCGACAAGCACTCACCTGTATGAATGACTTTGCACTCTGAGTGAAGATAATCAAGGCCAACAAGGAGGAAGTAGATGTAGGCCTTCGCAATGGGCAAAGGAAGCTTGCGGTCAACGAAACGCCTCTGTAAGATCCAGAGAGGCTCCCTCATCGGTTCATACACAAGGCACATGTGCTTCCCTTCCGGACCGGTTACTTCAAAATCATCCAGGTGTGTCCTTAGAATCACGCGGCCACGATGCTCTGAATTTTGCTGTATGATGTGGCGTTCAATCTCCTTCTCATGCCGAGCATTGTCGGCATTATTACTGTTGATTATTTTTAGGGCCACTGTTTGTTCAGATTGCCATTTGAGTCTTAATAAGCACCAGGTCAGTTTCTTGGTAGTTGACGTAAAGCAGGCAGCGCGGCTACCAATGTGGGTAGGTACCTTGAAATGTCTCGTGCGAGCCACACGGTTGATTGTGATCCCCAGCCGATTTTGACAAGTAGTTGAAATTTCTCGGCCAGTATTTCCCCGGCATTTGCAGGGTAGAAAGTCGCCCAATTGTACTCAGGACAAACCTCCTCATCAACAGGTTCCTGCTGAGGAATTGGAGGCCCCAAGTTGGGAGGTAACTGCCAGGGCGACTTTTTAGCGAAGGAGAACATAGTACGCCGCGACGTCAGCCGCCGAAGAGGTGACATTAGGCCATCTAAGCTTTTATGCTCTGGAGATGACCAGGTACTGGGAAGAGCACAGGAGGCTGGGATCGCAGTTTCGGGGGCGATGAAGTATGACTAAGCGCCAGGCACTGGAGTCAGCGACTCAGAGGCGCTTCGAAATCAGTTGGGCAACTGACGCGTGATGACAGATTGCCCCGCGTCGTGGTAAATGGCCTCACGTAGTTAACTTCGCAGAGATTCGCGCGTTCACGTGACATTGATATATGTTAGGCATTACTACGGCTACCCCAGGCACGTGCCACCTAACATATTGTGTTGCTCTCACTTAGATAGTTAACAATCACACAACCAACATTATTCTCCTACAGGTTATGAAGCCCTTGCACTTCTACGAAGTGATAACTTGCAATAATAACTTCTTCTTTTGTTAAAGAACCTCTTATTCTATTCCTTTTGATACTCTTATACTTGATAATCAAATGCCAGTCAGCATGAGATCAATCAACTGTGAAGAAACATCAGAGAACCAGATAACCCCTGGAACCTTTCCAACACCAATAACCACATGAAGACCATGATATCAAGCCTCAGAATGTGAAGAGATGGCAGATCAACAAGATGAAGCTGCAATACTGAGGCATTGTATTGCTCAGTTAGATGATGAACTATATCAGATAAGAGCTGCTAGCACTTCTGCTGCTAGCACTTCTGCTGCTGACACTCCTGCTGCTGCTACTGCTGCCCATGATGACAATGAACTAAGCTCTGACCTTGCTGCTCATCTGTATGATCAAGATGATACCTCTGCCTTGAGCAGAGTTCTTCAAGAATTCTGTGAATGAGTCAAATATCTTCAAAAACCAGATCTTCTCAAATCAGTATCTGATTATCTGATTTGGAAGGAAGAGATTCTGCTTGCCATCAAGCAATTCTGTACAGAGGATATCCTCATCATCAAACCTCTGGAAAATGTCAGCAAGGATATGAAATGATACTGAGAGGAACACAACTTCTGACTATACAATTTAATATAGTCTTCAGTTTCTGTTGAAGTCAAATCTCTTTTTACTATACCCCAAGATTTTCTAGATTCTTCTGCTCTATAAAAGATTATAGAGGTATCTTTTTCAGAAAGAATAGAGATCTGCAGAGCTCATCTATTCAAAGAATTCAATAATATCATAGCTGCCATCTATAGAGGATCTAGTTGCTTCTTCATAGAACACCTTCTAGCAATTCATATTGAATATATCTGCCTTGAATATGAGGTTCCCAACTTCATTCTCTTTGATAAACTTCTCAATGGTCTCATCAAGGGTTGGTCATCATTTATCAAGAATTGTATGAATCATGCAGCAAAGAATGATAATATCAGATCATTTGAAGACAACTTTCTTGAACTTTGCAAAGATATATTACTCTGTCTGTTATTAGATGACAAGAATACCAATGCTGCTACAGACTATCTGAAGAATGATAAGAATATCAAGAATAAGAACATCAAGAAGTGCAACTACTGTAATTGAAAGAGTCATAATAAGATTCACTGTTGGGATAAATATTCAGAAAAGAAGTCAAAGAATCTATAAAAAGCCTTCACTGTGGAGTCAGTGAATATTATAGAAGAACAGATCTTCTAATATCTCTAGTTGAGATAGTCACTGTTGATATTCTCTAGTTGAGAATCACTTCTAGTTGGAGCAGTATATCATCTACAATCTCTAGTTGAGATAGTCACTATTGATATTCTCTAGTTAAGAATCACTTCTAGTTGAAGCAGTATATTGTCTACAACCTCTAGTTGAGATAGTCAGCTGTTGATATTCTCTAGTTAAGGATGGAGCTTCTAGTTGAGGCAAAGTATGTTTTTGATGATAGTTGATGGTAATGGTAATACAGCAGATTGGTGGATTTTGCTTGTGTTTTTCTGTTTTTATGGTTATTGCTATACAGGCATCTATTTCTAATAGAGAAATCAGGGTCCAAATTTTGTAATTAATTATTATTGTGTTTTTGAAGAATTTGAGCGAAGGGGGGGCTCTGCTGCCCTTTGTGGCCACACTGTAGCAAGGGGGGGTGTTAGGCATTACTACAGCTACCCCAGGCACGTGCCACCTAACATATTGTGTTGCTCTCGCTTAGATAGTTAACAATCACACAATCAACATTATCCTCCTACAATATATATGTTGTGTTGGGCACTAGTTGCCCAGATGGCCCTCCACTGCACATGATTACCTCTATATAATTAGCTAGCAACCACAACAATAACAAGATCAACCATCTCACAGATTATAACTCAGATAGCAGTTTTTTAAGAAAAACAATATATTTTGATTAGAATACACTGCAACTGATGTTATATTGAATGAGTTAGACATTATTTCTCTGAAAAGAGAGCTTTTTATCTATAAAAGTGGTGTAATTGACAGAATTACTGTTGAGACTGCTGCAGAGATTTCATTACTATCTTGAAGAGATTAAAAACTTATTTATTTATTTTTATTCAGAATTTTTCTAAATCAGATTGATTATGAGTGATTTTTGATTATCTGCAATTTTTATATCAGAATGTAAGAAGATATTATATTTGCAATCAAGAGTTCTTCAATTCTTTTTCTCTGTTACTGAGTAAAAATTCATCTCAGAAGCAGAGAATGATCAAACTGAATATATAATAATAGAGAAAGATATAACAATCTCTGACTCAGTATAAGATACTGATAAGATGTCAGAATGTGAGAAATTCAAGAATGGTATACTCAGTTCTATACTAATATCTATATTAAATTCTAATAGTATAGTGATCATAACAGCAGCAGATCTCATTGCACTCTGTGAGTGATTGATATCAGTATTAGACTGGCCGCTGGGACCATGAATTACACATTTGGTTTGGTTTGATTTGGTCCCAGTCCATTTCTTGGCATGATTTTAGTGGGACCAGGACCAGAATGGGAGTGTAAAATGACTAGAATTATCAAAACATGAGTGAAATGGGACTAAAAAATCTTGATATTCCATGTAAAGTGACTGACTATCAAAAGTAAGAACATGATCTGGGACTGATCATGATTTTGACTCAAGTTTGGTCCCATTCTGATGATTATATAATACATCAATCTGATGATATGATTGGTGGAGATATTACCCCTATCTTGCTTAGTGCTGCTGCTAATCTACCCGCTGCTGCCAACCTACCTACCACTGCCAACCTACCTACCGCTGCCAACCTACCTACTGCTGCCAACCTACCTACCGCTGCCAACCTACCTACCGCTGCCAACCTACCTACCGCTGCCAACCTACCTACTGCTGCCAACCTACCTACCGCTGCCAACCTATCTACTGCTGCCAACCTATCTATCGCTGCTAATCTATCACTGCTAATCTATCGCTGCTAATCTATCGCTGCTAATCTATCGCTGCCAACCTACCTACCGCTGCCAACCTACCTACCGCTGCCAACCTATCTATCGCTGCTAATCTATCACTGCTAATCTATCGCTGCTAATCTATCGCTGCTAATCTACTGCTGCCAATCTACCTACTGCTGCCAACCTATCTATCGCTGCTAATCTATCGCTGCTAATCTATCGCTGCTAATCTATCGCTGCCAACCTACCTACCGCTGCCAACCTACCTACCGCTGCCAACCTATCTATCGCTGCCAATCTATATCACTGCCAATCTATATAGGGTAAATCATGGTCCCATTTGGTCCCATTTTGTAAAATGAGACCAAATGAGACCAGAATCACTAATTTATTAGTAAAACATGATCTGAGACTAGATTTATAATATAAACAGTGTAAAGTGACTAATTTGCTAAACACTATATGGGACCAGGACTAAGATATCTAATAATGGAACTGAGGAAAAATTTGATCCCAGTCCCATGCATGGTCACACAGCCAGTCTACTAATTTATTAGTAAAATATAATCTGAGACTAGATTTTTAATATAAACAGTGTAAAGTGATTAATTTACTAAACACTATATAGAATCAGAACTAAGATATCTAATAATGAGACTAAGAAAAAATTTGATCTCAGTCTCATGCATGATTATATAATCAGTCTAAACATCTATAAATTCTCACATAATATAACAGATTAGCATCTGTTAGTAGTTAACTTATGCAATCAACTCTCTATTATCTGCTTACTCTCTCATGTGCTCTTATATATCTATAAAATACCCCTCTTTCTACAACTCTGCTCTGCACTCATATAGTCTCTAATAATTTCTTTATATAATTTCTAATATTCTTTCACTTCACACTTCACTGCAGTACAATCTCTGATATTCTTTCATTTCAATTTTTTCTTTATAAGAACCTTCTTATACAATCTCTTCTTCTGATCTTCTTTCTCTTTCTTTTCTTAATTGATTTATAAACTGTTATCAGAATAGTGTCAAATCTGTAGATAGTGTTATTGAAATGAATTGTATAAACTGTATAGATAATATGAACAGTTTAATCTGCAACATCAGCAACATCTGTTTAATTGATGATATATCTATTACATTGACTATTAGACTGATCAGTGGGACTATGAATTTCACATTTGATTTGATTTGATTTGATTTTAGTTCATTTCTTGACATTATTTTAGTGAGATCAGAATCAGAATGAAAGTGTAAAGTGACTAGAATTATCAAAACATGAGTGAAATAGAACTAATAAATCTTGATATTTTATATAAAATAATTGACTATCAAAAACAAGAATATAATCTGAGACTGATCATGATTTTGATTCAAGTTTGATTTCATTCTGATGATTATATAATACATCAATCTGATGATGTGATTGGTGAAGATATTATCTCTATCTTGCTTAGTACTCAATACTCTGATGGCTTGCTATTAGATTCTCTATCTATCACTGTCAATCTATCTACCACTGCTAATCTATTGCTGCTAATCTATCACTGCTAATCTATTGCTGCTAATCTATCGCTGTCAATCTATCTACTGCTGTCAATCTATCTATCACTGTTAATCTATCTACTACTGCTAATCTATCACTGTTAATCTATCACTGTCAATCTATCTACTGCTGCCAATCTATCTACTGCTGCCAATCTATCTACCACTGCTAATCTATCACTGCTGTCAATCTATATAGAGTAAATCATGATTTCATTTGATTTCATTTTGTAAAATGAGATCAAATGAGATTAGAATCATTAATTTATTAGTAAAATATAATCTGAGACTAGATTTTTAATATAAACAGTGTAAAATGAC